GCCAGGCCTTGTAACAAAGGCTGGGCTGAACCCATGTGGCTGATGTGTAGATCAATGTTTGGGTCTCACGCCATACAAGGATACCCAACTGGGCAATAGTTTGGAGGTTAAGCGAGCACATGGACTTAATGGGACTAAAGCCCAATCCGAACTGGTTTAATTTGATTAATTAAAGAGGGGCGGTGCTGGGATTTAGATTAACAGATTGGATAGGGAGTTATCCCTATCCACACAGAGAGTCTAGATCTAAATAAAGATTTGGATTAGGAAACTCCTAATAAGATTAGGAGGGTTGATCTTTATATTTAGATAAGATAAAAAAAAATAATAATTGGTTTAATAGTTATGCTTTTGTTAGAAATAGTTATGCTTATGTTATTTCCTCATTGGTTTAATGGATAATTATGTGGAATTAAAAATAAAAATTAAAAAAAGGAAATTAGGAATGGGGGTTTAATTGTAACTTTTTTTGGATAGATATAGATAATAAGTGCGTAAGGGGATAAATAGGAATATAGATAATTTAGGAGAAAAACTCTATACTAAATTAGAGATAATTTAGAAGATAATTAGGAATTAGAGATAATTTAAGAAATTAATAAATGTTATAGATAATTTAGAAGAAAGTGGGGGATAGTGGTGCCACTTGGCTAGACATTAGAAAAGTAAAATTCGCTATCTTTATTTACTAGTGAATGACGCCGTATTAAGTATGGGGAATCATTAATGTTAAATTTATGTTATGGAATCAATACAGTTAAATTTGTATTTATTAATATTTTAAATAATTATTAAATTTTCAAAAAATAGCTTTTCAATAATTGTTAGAATATGGATAATTTTCTTTTGTTATGGTACGTAGAGGGTTAATGATTAAGTGAAATTGATAGAATATCGGCAAAAGTGGTTGTGGATAACCAATTTTGCATTTTCTGCAATTTTTTTTTTGGAATTGATTGAAAATGGTGGTATTAGGTTGTGGGTTTAGCATCAACTTCTCAAAAAATGCTGCCTCTCTAGTTTTACAGAAAAATGAAAAGACTATGTGTCTGAATGGTGGAGAGCTATAGTGGGTTTTAACAAGAATTTCTAAAAAAATTGCGATATGTCTTGCTTTCTAGAAAATGAGAAGGTCACTTATCTTAATGTTGATAATGGGCTGTGGATTTTAACACAACTTCTAAAAAAATGATGTGTCCAAATTTGAATGGTGGGGCTGTAGCGTGAAAGCCTTCCTTCTGTATATATATGATTGGTTGTTAGAAATAATTTAGCTTATATTGTTTTCTTATTGATTTAATGAATAATTATATAAAATTATAAAATAAAAAATTAAAAAAAAAACATGAAATTAAAAAAAGGGCGTAGAGCAAGGAAAGGCGTGATGACATTAACAACCTTCCGACGTGGAAATTTCTGACCAAAAGTTCACTTCTGAAATATAGATCGAACGGTCCAAACTCGAAAGGATTCAAAGATTGCGGCGCACTGTGGATGTGAAGGTATTCTAGGATTAACGGCAAACCTCTTGGCGGGTGGCGGCTGATCTTTCGATTTCGGCCTTTTGGAGATGACTTCCTTAACTCACATGGCTTTTATAACTCTACGGCGTATTTTAGTCAGAGGCAGCCAAGGATCGCTCAGGATTAGAGTTTTTCACGCCATCTATTTATTGTGGAGATGAAAACCGAAGCAAAATGAGAAATTGAGAACGACAAGCAGCAGAAAAAGATATGGAGATCTCGACGACCCTCTCTCTACCCTCAGTTCCCAGAATTTCACCTTCCGTATCTACCTTCGCTTCCTGCAAGTCTGTGTTCTTCAGCAATGGCGCAACTGATCTCCACATGAGGAAGAAGACTAATTGCTTGGTCTTGGATAGAAGCAAAACTCAGAGGGGTGTCAATCCTCGATGCTTGTTCGGTCTCGGTGTACCCGAGCTCGTGGTAATCGCTGGTGTGGCAGCACTTGTTTTCGGGCCGAAGAAGTTGCCAGAGATTGGGCGGAGTTTCGGGAAAACTCTCAAGAGCTTTCAGCAGGTAAGCTTCTCCTTCGCGTTTTTAATCCATTTTCCTCGATCCGGTCACTTGTATTCTGCAGTTCTTTCGAATGTTCGTCTTTGGTTAACTTATAAACATTAGAAACTAGGTTGGGTTTTGAAATCATGTATCTTCTGTGAGATTTTGTTGTCACATACCCATTTTTCTCATCATATGTTAGATTAGATGTATCTATTTAAAAAAAAATTACAAGACAGGAACAAGGTCGAGGTCTCAGGGCAGTACGAGTAGCTGAATAGAGTTGGAAGATTGATTAGTGACTGTTAATCCCTTGACGTTGGGTCGGAAGTTTGTGCTTTATAAAGCACGCTACCTAGCTATGTTTGGAGATCAACGAGTGGAGCTACTTGCAGTGACTGTTTGATGATTTTAGTTGTGAACTTGGGCTTTCGAATTTAGGAATTATTCATGATAGAAAAATGATGTTATGTCCAGTTTAGACGGCTGAAGTCTTGTTTATTCTTAGCTCCTCTTCTTTAACCTAACCAAACGATTTTCTTTTATATATTTGGAGCATCTTGCTCCCTTTCAAATTCTCAAGGGATACTCTTTTACTAATGCAATTTGTTGGAATGGAAGGAGCGAGTTAGGGGATAATAAAGGAAAGCTCAGTGAAAAGGGCTTTTATCATGGTCTGGACTAGCTACTGCAAGGGTTTGTTGTTGTCATTAAGTAGATAGATGGATAAGCTCCTACAGGGTCCTTCTTCAGTAACTAGAAATTGCTAGATTTCATGCAGCTTTTGTCGTGGAAGGTGACCCTAAGGCTATGTTTGGTTTGAAGGAAAACGTAAGGAAAGGAAGGGAAAAGTAGGGAAACCTATACAAGGTTTGTAAAGGCTTCCCTTCCTTTCCCTACTTTTTCCTTCAAACCAAACACAGCCTAAGAGTACCTTCCCATGGTTGTAGACTTTTGGAGGTTGGTTTAGGTGGTGTTTGGGGTCGGTGCTGTTTCCTGAGAGGTGTTTTCTTAGAAAACGGTGCTGCATAAGCATGCTGCTTTCTCAGGTTTTCTATTTGGTACCATTGCTGTTGCTGCCACATAGGTGTTTTTCAATGCCACATCAGCACACCATTGCTAGCAACAGTAGAAAAACGGGAAAACACCAAAAGGGGCATTTTCTCAGACCACATCTTTCCTGTTGTGGTGCCATTTTCTGTGGAAACGGCATCGATCCCAAACACCTACTTAGAAATAATTGGCATGGTATTACATTTTTTTTATAAGGGCCAGCTGAAGTGACTAAGCCGCCATTCTCAGATCTTCTTTTTTCTTCTTCTTCTTCTTCGGCTGCTGTTCTCCAGCAAACACAAATAACCATAGGAATGCCAATAAATTTAATTAGAAATGAATATGGTGTTGGATACTTCAGAGGTTACGTTGACACTTATATTGGAGAAGGCAGTAGACTTATTCAACAGTTAAATTTTTAATCAAACTCTGTAAATTGAAAATATCTTTTAGCTGCCGACAAATCAAGCACTCATTGAATGCACTTTTGCAAATAAGTTATATCTCTTAAAAGGGCCCATGTATTTTGCTGATTTTATGCATCGGTTGGTGCAAAGAAATTTCTAAATCACAAAAAAAAAAAAAAAATCCAAACAACCACTTTCCTTTTGTATCAACCAAAATTTAGGTAGCTAGTGGTTTTTTCATGCCTGGCATATTCCTCTAGAATGATGCAGGGTTGTTAAGTTCAACAAAAACTCTTTTTCTACATCAGAAGATAGGCGAGTGAAAGCATAATATGATAATTTTAGGGAACTTTGTGCTTATTAAACTATCTTTATCATCTAATATTTTCATTATTGTTCGGATTTTGGTTCCTCTTGCAAAAATATATACCTCTGTCTCAGAGAAATCAAATAGCTCTCTGATGTTTCTGGTAATAATTTAGATTCTTATGCATGAATATAAATAAATAGGTTAAGCACTGGCATTTCTTCGTATATCATAAGAGCAAAAAATAATGGTAAGTCATTGGATATGATTCAATCATTTTTTTAATCTATTTCCCCAGTTCTTAGAGATGATCAGATTACCTTAATGTCAACAGCTATGCATCATTGATCAATGAAATTTGCAATTTTTCTTTGAAGATTAAGCATTGAGATTTACAGAAAAAAAAGATGGTCTTTAAACTCATTAACTAAAGGACAGCAATAAAATGCACTAGTCAACCTGCTCTATGGGAGAAGTCAGTGAGAATGGTACTGCAGTCCCCTATCATGCAATTGGGTGATAATCTGCTCACCAGCGAAAGGTTCTTGACAGAGATCGGGGGAGGATGGGGTTTTTTTTTATCTTTAGTCGTAACTGGCTGCCAAAATATTTATTTATTTTTGTTTGTTTTTTCCCTTTTTTCCATTTCCATTATTGTTAGTGATGCTTTGTTTCTTTCATATTCATAGTGATCTTTCTCTGTTTTTCATTCATGGTTGTTATTTAAGTTCAAGCAATTAACTGCTTGTCTGATATGATACATCTGTACTACTCCTTCCCATATTGTATCCAGTTATTGTATCACTAAAAGAATGTTTAGGTATTTAGTTGCTTTATGAAATGTTAGTTAACATATTAGAATTTTTTGTTACTTGTAATTGTCAGAATGCTGTAGCATGATGGTGGTTCCCTTTGTAATTTAGTTGCATATAGAATGCGTTTATCTTTGAAATGTGTGTCCATGTTTTAGTCCTACAATGAGTTTGCTAGTCTGCAATTTTGCATATACATTCAAGGTTGTTACAAGTTTTGTAGCCGACCCCATATAGTTGGGACAAGGCTTAGATGACGATGATGATGACAGAATATAAGTTTTGCTTCTTTAATAACATGACATTCACACACAGAATTTCTCTTCTTACAGTTACATGGACATGCATATTCATACATATTATAGTGGCTACAAAAGTAGCTCTAGCTGTATCAGAATGACTGACATTATATAATTGATTCATTTTTTGTGGGCATTTGTATTTCTACATATTTCATGCTTTCTTTAAATTGCAAGAATGCTCTTTTGGACATTCTTAGGTGTTGGTTAACAATTAAATGATGGGCGTGAGTTGAATAGTGCTCCTTTAATAGTGAAACTCAATAGGAAAAAAGAAATGTAAAAAGCTTCATATAGTTGATACAATGCAACATGTGGTTTGAAGTGAAAGTTGTGTCAGTTTGTTGCTCGCGATCTCCCCATTTTCATAATATATTCACTTATTTTTATTGCTTTTGAGAAATTTAAAATTATATATTTCACCAAAACCTTAAAACCTTACTTGTTTTATTGTTTGATTGGGCACTTGCCAAGGGGAAACCCAGTCTGAACACTAATGTTCCATTTCAATTTGGTATTAGTATGCTTTTGTAAATCCTAACATGCAGAATTTCCTTTTCTAACATAGGTACATGCCTAGGAATGTTCACCCTAACTATGCTGACTGGTGCTCATGTCTCTTCTTTTTATTGAGATCCTAATTCATTAGTTTGTTAGAGATAAAGAAACGATCAGTTTGTAGTGACCATGATATTGAAAGACTTCCCCTTGCTACTGGCTGTTTATGTTGGGACCCAAATACCTTCCCCGAACCCAACAAAGGGAGTGGAGCAGGCCACTACCCATCAACAGTTCTCAAGGAGGCAGAAAGGACAGGCGACAGAGCCCCAAAATTAGTTACACACAGAGTTCGTTATTCTGCCGCCAAAAGATATTCCCTCCATGATATTTTCCAGAGTTAGTTATCCTGCAAATCAGAGGATATTCCCTCTATGATTACACCTGTAGGCCAGCTATATAAGGCCATACTCTTATAATGAAAGGTGTGAATGAATATCCCCTGTTTTTCTGTCACCGAGTCCCTTTTTTCCTACCTTCCCTTCTCTTCTTCCTCTCCA